CAGTGATGGTGATTGCACAGACAGTGGGAACCCAGTGACGGTGATTGCACAGACAGTGGGAACCCAGTGAATGTGACTGTACAAGACAGTGGGAACCCAGTGATGGTGATTGTGCAGACAGTGGGAACCCAGCGATGGTGATTGCACAGACAGTGGGAACCCAGTGATGGTGAATGTACAGAGACCACTGACACTTCCTGAATCCCATAGGCGTCCACCACAAAAATACGCACATACATACAGGCCGGGACACGTGGGCGGCTCTTGCCATTTCACAATTACAGGTAGTAAGACTACAAGAACTAGGACTAGGAGGCAGCCATTCGGCCCCTTGAGCCTGCTCTGCCGTTTAATAGAATCGCGGCTGATCCGAAATTCCTCACATCCACTTTCCCTGTATCCCTTGATTCACTTACTGATCAAGAATCTATCTGTCTTAAATATACACCAGGACTCTGACCCCTGCTCTCTGTGGCAAGGAGTTCCAAAGATTCACAGCTCTCCAAGAGAAGGAATTTCTCCTCTTCTCACTCTTAAATTGGCTCCTTTATTCTGACGATATGTGGCTTTCTTCTGCACTCTGATGGGGTTTATTAGCTCCGTTGGCTGGATGGCTGGTTTCCCCATGCGGAGTGACTCCAACAGCATGGGTTGAGTTCCCCCACCAGCTGCAGTTACCATGAGGGACTCACCTTCCCAACTTCTTCCCTCACCTGAGGCATGGTGACCCTCAGCTTAAACCACCAACAGTCCCCTCTCTGGTGAGAGAGCAGGTCTATGGTTTGGTGACTTTACCCAGACTTTTAACCAAAACAAAGATGTAGATGTTAGTAAATGTCAGCGTATATGAGAAGCCCAGGGTTATTTGATTGGTAAGGAAGCTATCTTTAGATGAAACTATGGAACTTAGTTAATTCTTTTCTAATCGATGTTGCCATCAGCGATATCCACCACAGGGACTGACAGAAGGAATACATCTCGGAACTTTCTCAAGTACAAAATGTTATTATTGTGCTTTTGTCCCCACGTTGTTTGAGATAATATCCCGTGTCCCGAAAAGATTGACTCTCGCAAGCGGCCGCTCCCTCCTTTACCTGGAAGATCCCATCCTCTGACGGTCTGAGTGAATCCCATTCTGGAGAATCCAAAAATTGATAGGGATAAATGTAATGTAAAAACTCCCCGTCCACCGTCACCCGAATCCTATCAAGGAACAAGAAGAGACGAGCAAACATGAGTACAGCAGAGAAGCCAGCTATCAGAAAGAAACAATGATTGAATCAATAAATAGTGGGAGCTGGGGGTGGGGGATCCTCAGCAATATGCAGCATGGTGGAGGGAGTGAACCTTTAACTGACTCTTCTGTTCCCCTCTCTCCGCAGGGACGAGCTGACCTGCGGCATGTTCTTCTCTGGGTGTCTGTGGTTTCAGTCCAGTTTCCCCTCTGATGAGCACTATCAGCTAGAGGAACAGATGAGCGTCTCAAGCAAAAATTCAATCCACTATCAAACAGCCTGCCTTAGGCTGCTTTATTTTCGGGAAGTGGGGGCAGGAACGGATATATCCGGATTTTGATTATTTTCGCGTTTTGCACTTGAATTGACACCGATGACAGTAGAGTAGAATTATAGACTTGCCCAGCCCTCTTGTCCCCTAGCCCACTCGGCCGCAAGTCGCGGCAGGAACACACGGACGGTTTTAAGACCAACATAAAGGTGAAACAGTACAAAGAGCTGCCGATGCTGGATATCGGCAACAAAAAACAGAACCAGCTGGAGAAACTCCGAAGAAGAGTCACTAGACCCAAAACGTTAACTCTTTGTTTCTCTGACCACAGACACTGCCAGAGTTTCTGCTGCGTTTCTCCAGCAGCTTCTGTTTTTTTTTGTTTAAGAAGTGGCTCAGTTCCCAGAGAGAGAGAGAATCAGAGAGACAGGGACCGATAGAGACACATAGAGAGAATCAGAGACGGGGTGGGGGGGACGCAGAATTTGAGAGATAGAGACAGAGAGAGAGACACAGAGCGAGAGAGAGACACGGAGAGAGATACAAAGAGAGACAGAGAGAATCAGACCCAGAGACAGAGAGCGACATACACACACACACAGGGGAAGAGAGACAAAGAGAGAGACGCAGAGAGAAGCACGGAGACAGATACCAGAGTCAGAGACAGAGAAAGAGAGAGCGAGAGAGAGACAAAGGGAGACAGAGAGAGGCACAGAGACAGAGAGAGAGAGAGAGAAAGGGAGACAGAGAGAGGCACAGAGACAGAGAGAGGCACAGAGACAGAGAGAGAGAGACAAAGGGAGACAGAAAGGCACGGAGACAGACAGAGAGAGACAAAGGGAGACAGAGAGAGGCACAGAGATAGACAGAGAGAGAGAGAGACGAACCTGCCAGACAGGAGCAGTGAGAGCCTCTCAATGGGGGTTTTGCCCTCCATGGCATAACAGTGATCCTTCTCCAGGGACAGCACGGTGCAACAAGTGGCGATTTTCTTGTAGATGTTCAGGGGGATTCCGAGCGGCTGGAAGAGGGCTCCGTACAGGTTCTGCAAGTCGTGCTGGAAGGAGACGCTGCGGAGCTGGTAGGCGATGTGGCTCAGCTGGACGGCGGAGACCGCCAGCAGCGCGAAATTCCACGAGAAGATATCGGCGGCGCAGGCGTCGGTCCACGCCCAGACCGAGGTGCAGAGGAAGCCGGAGGCCAGGAACAGGTGGATGTATAGGAGGCCGACCAGGCCACTGCCGCCCATGTAGCCCAGGGTGAAGAAGATGTTGGCGAGCTGGTAGACCGAGCCCTCCATGCTGTGCCTCCAGCTGGGACAGGTCTGGCCAGGCAGTAGCAGCAGCGCCTCCCATAGGGAGCTGTTCCCGCTGGCCATGGCCTGGAACTGGCTGCAAGGACAATCTGACCCAGTCCGGAACCCACGCTGCAGCACTGCCCCGCTCATTTAGGGAGTGGTGTAGCCATCATCACTACTCCGTCGCCTTGCCTTTCTCACCTCTTTTCCCGAACAGAGAATACAAGCAGAGCTCTCCGAGAGCTACTAGAAACAGACACTCGGTACCAGGCTGTGGGCTGTTCGAGAAACATGTGGCACAGTCACTTAGTGCTGGCTGCCGGCTCAGAGCGGGTCCTAGTGAACAGTACGTTGCGGACACAGAACGTATGCAGACAGATCCAAAGTTGCCAGTTTTCTGGGGACCCTGATCATTCAAATACCTTTTAGACCAGTGCTCACTTTCTTGTTGTAGAGCTGGCAAGTAGCGGAACAGCCACAGAGGACACTTAGCAATTTGGAGAGTTTTGGCGACGGCTCGGCTGGACTCCAACTAAAGGCTGGGCGACTTTTCAGATGCAGCACGAACGGAGAGATTTAGAGATTTCATCTCGCGGTTTATGCTGGCCCTTCTGGTAGCTGTGTTGAAAGCAGAATCCAGGAGCAAACAGAGAAGTGACAGGAGTATGGGTGGATATTAGGGCGAGGTGGACAGAGCTGTGTCCCAGAGTAAGTTACCTTGAAGTAACACGTTCACAAGCCGGTGTACTCCTTTCAACAAAGCTGCCAAAGCAACTCTTCTGGACTTACTGATCTGTGACCGTGCTCTCACCGCCTTCAGCTGCTGTAAGGAACTGCTTTTAGCCCTTTGAGAGGCCAGTACACTCTGTCTCCACCTACACTTACATAGATGTGGTGTGAGCAGTCAGTAAGTCAGCTTCTGCTAATGCCCACGCCAGCTCACCAGGCTGCATTCCTTCCTAAAGCACGGAGGCCGTAAACCAACATTCAGCAAGGTGAAGAAGTCTTCGACAATATTCCCTCCATTTGACACCACCTCTCGTTCCAGTCGCCTTGAAACAACACCAGCGAGTAGTGAAACCTGCCCTCACCCCGGCTTAAAGGCGAGAAGTATTATTAAAATCCATTCACTCTGGCCGAAACATTATGATAGACAGAATTTAAGATACAGCTTTAATTACTTTGTACTTGGTACTCTGATTTGTATAAGAAACATTGCTGTCCTAAACAAAAAAGATGCACGGATTAAGGAATATGTAGGGTTAACAAGCACCCATCTAGATTTAGCAGCAGCATTAATCACTTTATATATAGCAAGATATATGAACCACCCTGTTAGTGCATTAAAAATAGTTCCAAATAAATAGCTCGTGTTACCGCGATCTCAGCTGCAAGTCAACATGAAACAACTCAATCCAACTGGGCCTAAAGCAACAGTCAGCGCCTCCCGTTGTAACAGTTAGACACGGTGAGAAAGCGCAGCTCAACTCTTCATTGAGCCAGAGAATGGTCGCAGCTCGGAGAAAAAGGCCATTCAGCCACGAGTGTTGGTGCTGGCACTCAAAAGCAGCAACTCACCTCATGCCATACACAGACACTCGCCTGGTTGTGCACATTCCCCTTACCATTAGCCAAACTTCCTCTTCAATACCTGAAATGATTCTTCATTTACCAGACCCTCAGGCAGTGAGTGCACATTGAGCTGTTCTCATTGCTAATAATAAAGATGAGGTTGATTCAAACACATGGATTCTGGTAGATCTGTCAACAGTAACCATATAAGTAAAGTTAATGGCCAATAAGTGCAAAGCAAAAGTCCTTTAAGTGGTGAATAATGTTGTGCACTCAGGGCAAAACCTTTCCAGTTGTATACTACAATGTTACATGTGCTGGTGGGTCTTTCCTGATAGAATACCCAGTGATGGCAATGTCAGCAACATTGTAAAGTATGATTCAATGACTATGGCTGTGAGACAACCCTTCCAGTTTTGCCACCAATCCCCCAGATGACAGCTTCCATAGGATTGAGAGTGCCTTTGTGGGGTAGCTGCCGCAAAGGCACAGTGGGGTAAAACCACGGTCTGAGACCTTTATGTTGAAATTAAATGGGGTCTGTTTAATTATCAGACCCTTCTGGTGTCTCAAATATATGCAAATATAATCTTGCACATGTAAGAGATGGCTTTGGTTTGTTTGTTGGATAGAGTCAAACTTCAATGTTTGTTTTCTTCATATGCTATTGCACAGAACTGAATTGCTTTAGTGATTGTCTGTACATATATATTAATGAATGAAGAATATTTTTGAAATTAAAAGTGTGCAGTTGTCAGCTGCTTAGGTCAATGCTAGATGGTTCTTCACGTTTAATTCCCTTCTCACCTTCTAGTATTTGTGATACAGCTGAGTGGTTTGCTAAGCAATTTCAGAGGGCATTGAGGGTTAACCACATTTCAGTGGGTCTGGAGTCACATGGAGACCAGACCAGTAAGGACATTAAGTGAACTGGCTAAACTTTTACAACAATACTTTTATGGTTGCCATAACTGACACTAGTTTTTAATTCCACATTTTAGCTACTTGAATTTAAATACCACTAATTGCTGTGAAATTTGAACTTGTTTCCAGAGAATTAGCTTGGGCCTCTAGATTACCAATCCAGTGACATTACTCTGATGGCATCATTGCCTTCCCTTGGTGTATTGTGACCTATGACACCAGATTTGAAAAGTATAGAAAATCCTGTTAGGATTGTAAAGCATTGGCTTTGGGAACTGTAGCACTATGGAATACTCTACAGTGCAAGAAGGATTTGATTCAAACTAGTCTTAGATCCTGAACAGCAGGTCATAACATCTGACAGGAATACAAGTAACGACTTAATTCAGAGTTACCTCTGTTGAAGTAGTTTTCCAATCTCTTCCATCAGGCAGAAGATACAAAATCTTAAACACATGTACCAACAAGTTCAAGAACAGATTCTTCCCCGCTGTTATTAGACTTCTGAATGGACTTCTCAAATTTCACATCTAATGTTGATCTTGTTTTTTGTGCACCTTCTCTGCACTGTAACTTTGTATTGCTCGCTCTGTTCAATCACCCTATCATCTTTGTAGGTTATGTTCTGCCTGCATTGCACGCAAAACTTTTCTCTGTACTTAGGTATATGATGATAATAAATCGAATCAATTGTGACTTGTGGTTAAAATTCTAATGTTAAACAACCTCCAACCCAGAAGACCACACTTTTGATTACCTTCAGTCACGTCCAGGTATCTCTCAATACTTTTAAACCAGAAAAATGTAAAGACAGACTGTAATGCACAAATGGGGAACTTTATGGTTTGCAAGTAGGAACAAGTGGTGTGTCACAGGGATCAGTGCTGGGATGGAACATATGCTTGTTAAATTTGATGACACAAGTATAGACAGGAAAGCAAGTTGTGAAAAAGACATACTAAGGCTACAAAGGGATTTTTATAGGTTAAGTGAGTGGGCTAAAATATGACAAATGGAGAATGATATGAGTACATGTAAAGTTGTCCATTTTGATAGGAAGAATAAACACGCAAATGGTGAAAGATCACAGAGCTCTGAGGTGCAGACAGATCTCAATGTCCACGCATGCAAAAAGTTTAGCTTGCAGGTATAGCAAATAATTAGGAAAGCTAATAGAATTTTACCATTTTTTGAAAGGAGAATTGAATACAAAAGTAGTGAGGCTATGTTAGAGTCATACAGAGCATTGATGAAACTACGTCTGCTGTACTGCATACGGTATTGCCCCCCTTAGTTCACAAGGTCACAGAAAGTACACTAGGATAATACCGGCAATGGGTTAGTCCTTTTATTAGGAAAGGTTTTATGGGCCGGCTAGTGTCTGCTGGAATTTCAAAGATTAAGGTACGACCCAATAGAAACATGGAATCCTGAGGGGGTTTGGCCGAGGGAATGTAGAAGTAATGCTTCCCCTTGTGGAGGGATCTAAATTAGGGGTCACCCTCAAACGTACAGCTGATGTTTTAAAGATGTAACTGAGGAAACATTATTCTCATAGAATGTTGAGTGTCTTTGCAACACCTGAGATGATACTGTGGCTTTAAGAGGTGTATTTTGTCTTTTTTTTAAAAATGAAGAAAGGTTGAGCGGAGATCTGAGCAGTCTGTTCCAAACCAATAAAGTAAACAGCTTGTGAGCCCTTTTTTTAAATTAAAAGTTGGAACAATAGAAGCAGCATGAAGGGTTGGGGTCAAGGTCCCACAGAACCAAGATTTTAGTTTAACTTTCAGCAGCTGTTGGGGTTTTGAAACTGTAATAAAGTTCTCCCTGCTACAGCAAAATACTTGAGATCTCTCTCTGTCAGAGATTTGTCTTGATGTTCTTTCTTCCTGGACTGGAGAATTGTATGGGACACAATCTGTTTTACTGAATTTTCCTTTGCCAAGGGCATGTTTATGGGATATTGTTATATTGAAACAGTTACTGTTTAGTAGTTAAATAATCTATTATTCTGTTATGTTTTCCAATAGAGTTAACTTATTCCAGTTCTTTAATTTGTATTCTAACAACAGTGTAAGAATAAAGAGTGTTTTGCATCAAGCCTGTTAGGTTGACCAACTGACTTACACCTAGAACACAATGCCTTACACCTGCCTTTAAAAAGTGGGGGTCTAGGCTATCTTCTTAATAAAGTTGAGGGGGTTTGGTCTGGCCCATAACACACCCTTCCTCAAATGGTAGTGAAAGTCGAGTCTGGATATTTTTAAGGCAGAGGCAGACATGTTATTGACACGAAAAAGATAAAAGGTTATTGGGAATAGGCATAAATGTGATGTAATGAAATCATAATCCTATTCAATGCTGGAGTAGGTTCAAGGGGCTGGCTGGCCTACTCGGGCTTGTAATTTGGTTGGTTGGTTTCCATAAGCAAGACCAAACCACTACTGATATTTACTGCTTCTTCTGAAACAAAATTACAAGGATGCAATAGACTGTACATCTAACCAATTTCATAAATGGATGAAACCACCTTGAAATCAAGTATACAGAAAATCCAAAAATTGGACAGAATCCTTTGAGTCACAAACAATTTTGAATCTCAGCATTCGGAACTGAAATATGACAGATATGAAAATGCATCAAGGAATAAAAGAATTGTGTTGAAACCTGATATTGGGCATCAGCATTTTAGATCTGCGGAGAAGTAGGTGGGTGTTGTGCTTCAGTAATTTTTATAGCTTAAGTTGTTGACATATTCCTGAGCTATTTCAATGTTGAGGACATTTCTATTATGTCAGTATTGAGCAGCTCTTAAACTAGACAGAGCGCTTCCAGAACCTTTGGCCACTGTGGCCCCATTTCAAAGTTTGAAAATTTTTGTGTCTCCTGAAAACTGGAGAACAGAGACACAGTGGGGAGGTTTGGGGAATGTTGACCATTGGTGCCTGACTCCAAAATTTCAGCTCAAAACCCCAACTACCACTTAAAGGAAGTCCTAACTTAGGAGCTACTCAAGGACAAACCTATGATGATCGCTACTACTCATTTGTTCAAGTTCAGAGAGTACTCATGGCTGGTCTCAATATACATGGACAAAGAAGGACACAAATTCGACTGGGACAACACATCTACAATAGCACAAACAGAGACAGGCCAGGGAATTCCTGGAAGCCTGGCATTCCATCCGGAACTCCATCAGCAAACACATTGGACTGGACCCGATATGCAAACCACTGAAAAACAGAACTGGAAGTGAGGCCAACTACCCCAGCAAACTGAGGCATATAAATAACAAGCAGGACAGAACTCCCACGCTTCACTGGAAGCTCACTGACGATGTTACCTAGCAGGGTGACAAAACGTTTGCAATCAAACACACCAGCTTGGCGAGCATGTCTACAATCAAACTGATGACTATTATTGGAAATTTTACCAGTCAGCATATTGTATGTATCTTAAGCTTAGATGTTTGTATGATCTTTACAAAGCTCAATGTAATTGTAACTTAGACCAATGAGTTAGTTCCCTGGTCTAAGACCGTAATCTAATTCAAAAAATAATTAAAAGATCATTTTGCTTGAGAAGGCAGTGCATTAGAATTGCCAGACTTTTAGTCATAAATATTAGTCAAGGTCACATGTAACCCTTGGTTGAAAAAGTAAAAAATCATGCGCTGGATTGTGATTTGGCTATAATACGTGCTCCTAGCTTCTTTCCAATGTGATACGCAGTTATCTCTGAAGCAGCTTCTATTTTTCTTTTTTTTTTAAACTTCTTAAACACAGTACATCAGAACTTAATAAATGCTTCTCTCTCAAATGACTTCCCAGCACAGACTAAAAATGAGCATCTGGAATGTTTCTCCTCCCACCCATGTCAGGAAAGAACCATGACGAGGCATAGTAGTATACAACTGGAAAGGTTTTGCCCAGAGTACAAAACATTAAGGACCTTGCCTTGCACTTACTTACATGTTAAAGAAGATTATCAAACTAGTTGGTGATACTTGGGACAATCTAATTACCCAGTGATGCATGCTAACTGGCTTGCAAATGAAAAATGAGCACTGTTTTTCAGTACCTTCCCTATCAGCATCTGTGGAATAAATGTCAATAAGTGAGGGAAGAAAGCATGTGTAGAAAAACATGGAGTGATTTGCCTTTGCAAACATTAACAAAAGAAAAGGACTGTTTCCGTAGATCCATGTTAATGAGTTGGGTTTACTCCTAGTTAAATACGGATGTTTTGAAATGAAGAACTGCAACTTTATTAAAATTCATTCAGGGGATGCAGGCTTCGGTTGCTGGGCCAGCAATTATTGCCCACAGTTAGTTGCCCTCCAGAAGGCGATAAAATGCCTTCTTGAACTGCTGTGGTCCATTTGATGCAGGGGGGTTCACCCAGAAAGCTGTTAGGGAGAGTGTTCCAGGATCCTGACCCAGTGTGACAACACAGATTTATATATATGTTTTATTATTGTTCATTGGTTTGGGCTCCTGGAGTTCTAAACATACGGGTTGGTTTGTGTGTTTGAAAATAACGATGAGTATGTAAAAAAAAAAATACCCAACATCCCAAGTGAGAGTTAAGTTACCAGAGTTCCTAAGAAACTATCCAGAAGGTTTGATATTGGTGGGGGGAGGAAACATTCCAGATGCTGACTTTCATTTTTAGTCTGTGCTGGGAAGTTGTTTGACAGAGAAGCATGTATTAAGCGCTGATGCACTGTGTTTTTGAAGTCATAATGACTGACGCTACTGATCATAATAGTAGCGACAGTAAAAGAATGGTGTTGTATTTTCAAACCAAGACAATGAGTGCTTTCAAAAGGAATTTGGATATGGTGGTGTTCACGTGTATCTATATTAAAAAGTAAAATCATTCTTAGCATGGAAAATACATTCGGAAAAAGCAGAAATGTTTGGCAAATTGCATTTTATTTTTTCAGGTTCTAAAACCCGGTACATTAATTCAGCATAAGAAGGTGTGAACCTGAATTATTAGTTATTAGTGCTTTCTTCAACCGAGATTTGAGGTAAAAATTATATTGTTTAACAGTCAAATGCAACTTAAATGCACTGAAATTACATGGTAAAGTATGTGGCTGTCTGAAATTAGTTTTAAAACTATGTTGTATTTGTAGCTTATTTTGCTGTATATCCAACAGAGACTAAGCTAAGAAAAATAATTCATAAGCCTATGCTCTATTTCAATACACTACTTACACCTTATAAATCAAAAACTTCTAAATCAGCATTAGTATAACTTAATTCTACTGCGTCACAACATGTGATTTACCAAATGCATCCAATACATTTGGACAAAAATCTCAAAACACCTCTCCTCTCTACCACCTGGTGAAATTGCACATTACCGGGAAAAATGCAGCAGGAGCTTTCAAAAATCCAAGATGTATTGTGCTGGGCTTTCTTTAAACAGACAAAGCACACAAAATAACCTATCAGAACACAGAAAAATGTGATATTCTAAGTTACATCACAGTGATACAAACTTAGATTATTTACTGTGTCCCTGAATTTTCATGCTTACAAATGGCTTTAAACAATGCCATATATAACCAAGCACATGGAAATTGACCTGTTCCAATGTAGTGGGGTGGACCAGTCTATAAAGTCACAAACTAATTGCTTACAGCAATGGAAAGCTATTATTTATACATCTGGAAAGTAGAAGAAACGTCAACCCCAGAGCATTATTCATTTTATTCAGTTTGTTTAAATAATGAAAATAATTGTTACCATTCTAATGGAAGCATTAGTAGATGTGAGTAATTGATGATCAAAAGGAAAGGGAAATGGCAGAAAAGTCTGAATTATGCTGAGTACAAAGTAAAAATCCACACCAAATGAAATGTTTCTATACCTTTCTGTACTGTAGAAAACAAAAATGTTTAAACGGACAATTACTACGCCATTTATTTGAAAATCTCCTTAATTATTTAAATCTAGCTTTATTAGCTGGAGTTTCTTTTCAAGTGGAAAAAAGGTCCAATTGTGTAAAATAATCTCAGGTTATGTCCAATTCCGACAATATTCCACGTATACAGGTTAAAAACACACAAACACAAAATGGATATCACTATAATAATAAGAAATTGTGTTTATAGGAGTAAATAACCACTGGAATCTTTAGTGGCTTATTTATTTCTCAAAATGCTGCACACAGCTGTTAAACTTTAACTACTTTTTTTTTATTTTGTATCTCTTACTTTGTAGGAATTGTTATTCTACTGAGGTCTGAAAATACCCTTCAATCTCAAAGAACATATTACTTTATGATGATCCTATTCTTAAATGTCTGATGCGTATTCTAAATTTGTTTACATGTTTTGAAACCACACCTTCAATACCAACTATATGAATATATAACAAAACCTATCTCAATTGACCCATTCAAGATGCAATGTTTCTGCAATGAAGGCATACATATCAGTGACCTCCTGAATTACTTTAGCTGTTGGCTTTCCTGCACCATGCCCAGCCTTGGTATCAACATAGATGAACAGGGGGTTACTCTGATTTGGGCTACGGCCAACAACATGTTGCAGAGTAGCTATGAACTTCATAGAATGGAGAGGAACGACACGGTCATCGTGATCTGCTGTCATCAACAACATTGCTGGATACTGAATGCCATCATCTGGTAGTTTAATATTGTGAAGTGGTGAGTATCTAAAAAAATACAGATATAACCATTAATAGTCTTAAAGAATTGGAGTATTACAGATACACAATATCTTGGTCAAGAATACGAAACAGAAGACTTACTAATTCCAAAAATTAATTAGTTAAGTTTACAATTCAGTCTGACAATTAAGATACCGTATTAAAGCCTCTGTGGTAAAACAGATAATTAGTGAAAACATACGCATGTTATATCATGAAATTTTCTTCCAATACTAAATTTTATTCATTGAACTGGTTGCAGTCTTGAGTTAGGATCTCAATGGCACAAGACTCATGTCACTAGACTCATGTCACTGATGCATCTATAGAGGTAATTCCTACCTTTCCATATAAGTGAAAACATTATTTTCAATTTATTTTTTGCACAAGTAAAAATTGTCATAAATAATGTAAGTTCACTGGTACTTTCACAGCATGAATAAAAAATATCCAATGTACCCTTCGAGACTGAAAACTGTACCATCCCAGTCTTGATTTATGGAATCTACAACTCAAATTATTTGGGAGCTTAAGACGTTAGGTTGTCTGTGTACTATTCTCACATATACATAACATAAGAACTAGGAGCAGGAGTAGGCCATCTGGCCCCTCGAGCCTGCCCCGCCATTCAAGAAGATCATGGCTGATCTTTTTGAGACTCAGCTCCACTTACCCGCCCGCTCACCATAACCCTTAATTCCTTTACTGTTCAAAAATTTATCTAGCCTTGCCTCAAAAACATTCAGCGAGGTAGCTTCAACTGCTTCACTGGGCAGGGAATTCCACAGATTCACAACCCTTTGGGTGAAGAAGTTCCTCCTGACCTCAGTCCTACATCTGCTTCCCTTTATTTTGAGGCTATGCCCCCTAGTCCTAGTTTCACCGGCTAGTGGAAACAACCTCCCTGCCTCCACCTTATCTATTCCCTTCATAATCTTATATGTTACTATAAGATTCCCCCCTCATTCTTCTGAATTCCAATGAGTATAATCCCAGCCTACTCAGTCTCTCCTCATAATCCAACCCTCTCAACTCTGGAACCAACCGAGTGAATCTCCTCTGCACCCCTTCCAATGCAAGTATATCCCTTCTCAAGTAAGGAGACCAAAACTGTACACAGTACTCCAGGTGTGGCCTCACCAGGACCCTATACAGCTGCAGCATAGCCTCCCTGTTTTTAAACTCCATCCCTCTAGCTATGACAGACAAAATTTCATTTGCCTTTTTAATTAACTGCTGCACCTGCAATCGTACTTTTAGCGATTCACGCACAAGGATACCCAAGTCCCTCTGCACAGCAGCGTGCGGCAATTTTTTACCATTTAAAACACAGTCTATTTTGCTGTTATTCCTACCAAAATGGATGACCTCACACTTATCAACATTGTACTCCATCTGCCAGACCTTTTCCCACTCACTTAGACTATCTATATCCCTCTGCAGACTTTCAGTGTCTTCTGCGCACTTTGCTCTACCACTCACCTCAGTGTCATCTGCAAATTTCAACACACCACACTTAGTCCCCAACTCCAAATCATCTATGTAAATTGTAAACAATTGCAGTCCCAACACTGATCCCGGAGGCACACCACTAGCCACTGACCGCCAACCAGAAAAACACCCATTTACCCCGACTCTTTGTTTTCTACTCGTCAACCAATCCTCTATCCATGCCAATACATTAGCTGTAATAACGTGCAACTTTATCTTATGTCACAGCCTTTGGTGTCAAATGCCTTCTGGAAATCCAGATACACCACATCCACAGGTTCCCCATTGTCCACCATGCAAGTAATGTCCTCAAAGAATTCCACCAAATTAGTTAAACATGACCTACCCTTCATGAACCCATGCTGGGTGTTCCCAATGGGACAATTTATATCCAGATGTCTTGCTATTTCTTCCTTAATGATAGATTCAAGCATTTTCTCCACTACCGAAGTTAAGGTAACTGGCCTATAGTCACCTGCTTTTGGTCTACTTCCTTTTTTAAACAGTGGCGTCACATTGGAAAAAAGCCAATCTGCAGGAACCACCCCAGAGTCCAGTGAATTTTGGTAAATATTTACTAGTGCATTTGCTATTCCCCCCATCACCCCTTTTAGTACCCTGAGATGCATTTTATCAGGGCCAGGAGACTTGTCTACCTTTAGCCCCATTAGCTTGGCCAGCACTGCCTCCTTAGTGATAATGATAGTTTCTAGGTCCTCACCTGCTACAACCTTCTTGCCATCAGTTTTCGGCATGTTATTTGTGTCTTCCACTGTGAAGACCGACAAAATAACTATTTAATGCCTCTGCTATTTCCTCATTTCCAGTTATTAAATTGGCCTTCTCATCCTCTAAAGGACCAATGTTTACCTTCGCCACTCTTTTACAAGTTACATATTTATAGAAACTTTTGCTGCCTGTTTTTATATTCTGAGCTAGTTTACTCTCATAATCTATCTTACTTTTCTTTATAATTTTTTTTGTGGCTTTCTGTTGGTCTTTAAAGATTTCCCAGTCTACTAGTTTCCCACTACTCTTTGCTTTTTTGTATGTGCTTTTTTCCAGTCTGATACTTTCCTTTATTTCCTTGGACATCCATTGCTGACTATCTCTTTTCCTACAGTTCTTCCTTACCACTGGATCATACTTTTGCTGAGCACTGTGAAAAGTCGTTTTGAAAGCCCTCCACTGTTCCTCAATTGACCCACCATAAAGTTTTTGCTTCCATTCTACCTTAGCTAACTCCTCCCTCATCCCATCATAGTCTCCTTTGTTTAAGCACAGGACATTGGTACTGGATTTTACCTTCTCACGCTCCATCTGTATTTTAAATTCGACCATACTGTGATCGCTCCTTCCGAGAGGATCCCTAACTGTGAGATCATTAATTATTCCTGTCTAATTACACAGGACTAGATCTAGGATAGCTTGCTCCCTCGTAGGTTCCATTACACATTGTTCAAGGAAATTATCGCGGATGCATTCTATGAACCCCTCCTCAAGGCTGCCATGACCGACCTGGTTTGGCCAATCGATATGTAGATTAAAATCCCCCATAATAATTGCTGTACCATTTTTACACACATTAACTATTTCTATGTTTATTGCCCGCCCCACCACGATGTCATTATTTGGTGGCCTATAGACCACACCTATCAGCGACTTCTTCTCCCTGCTATTCCTAATTTCCACCCAAATGGATTCAATGTTTTGTTCAGTAGAACCTATATTATCGCTCGCTACTGCCCTGATATCATCCTTAAAAATCAGAGCGACACCACCTCCCTTATCTTCCTGTTTGTCCTTCCGAACAGTTTGATACCCCTGGATATTTAACTTCCAGTCATGACCATCCTGCAACCATGTCTCTGTAATGGCCACTAAATCAGACCCATTTACTATGATTTGTGCTGTCAACTCATCCACCTTGTTTCGAATACTCCGAGCATTCAGACAAAGTGCCCTTACGCCAATTTTTGCACCTTCTTTTTGAGTCCTATCAACTCCATTGCTTCCTCGTCACCTGCTAACCTGCTGCTTTGCCTTCCATTAATTGTTATACTCCCTGTACGCTCACTCCTCCCTTCGCCCCTACTTACTAGTTTAAAGTCCTATTAACCACCCTATTTACCCTTTTTGCCAGAACACTGGACCCGGCCCTGTTCAGGTGGAATCCATCCCAGTGGTATAGATCCCTCCTGTCCCAAAACTGATGCCAGTGCCCCATGAAAAGGAAACCCTCTTTCCCACACCACTCTTTTAGCCACATGTTTACTTCCCTGATCCTCGCCCCTATGCCAATGTGCACGTGGCTCGGGCAGCAATCTAGAGATTATGACCCTTGAAGACCTGTCTTTTTAATTTTGTTCCTAGCTTTTCATAATCCCGAAACAGGTATTTTTTCCTAGTCCTGCCTATGTTGTTGGTACCTACGTGGACCACAACAACTGGATCCTCCCCCTCCCTCTCCCTCTCCCTCTCCCTCTCTAGTATCCTTTCAAGCCGGTCAGAGATGTCTCGCACCCTGGCACCGGGCAGGCAACACACCATGCGGGACTCTCTATCCTGCTTACAAAGGATACTGTCTATCCCCCGATGATGGAATCCCCTACAACTACAATCTGTCCTTTAGCTCCCCACTCTTAAATGGCTTCCTGAATCACGGTGCCATGGTCAGTTGGCTCATCCTTCCTGCAGCCCTGTTCCTCATCCACGCAGGGAGCAAGTGCCTCATACCTGTGGGACAATGTCAAGGGCTGCGGCTCCTGTGTTCCTGTCTGCAGGGTCCCTCTACCTGCCTCACTCGCAGTCACACACTGCTGTCCCTGGCCGCTGATCGAATTAACATTAGTTAATCTACTAGGTGTGACTGCCTCCTGGAACACAGCATCCAGGTACCTCTCCCCCTCCTGGATGTGCCGCAGTGTTTGGAGTTCGGATTCCAGCTCATCAATTTTGAGCCGGAGCTCCTTAAGTAGCCAACACTTGCTGCAGATGTGGTGACTGCCGTTCTTAATGGGATCAGCTAGCTCCCACATCATACAGCTCTTTTCTAAATTCACCTAGCCAATGAGTTGCATTGGAATTCTCTTCTGTGTTGCCAACATGCTGCTTTAATTCAAAGGATGCTCAATTCCAAATTTGGTGTTCAGCTCAGAGTGGCACAGTCCAACACACAAGCAATTGTTCTTGCAACTTCTGAGCTGTTTTAAGTTCATTTTTTCCCTTCTCTCATGCATGAATTTAGCACTCTGATACAGCTACAACAATTATGTAGAACTGATAGATTAACATATGGTTTAATAGATGGAAGTCTAAAGCAACCTCCTGTCAATAAGATCTTGGGGTAAATTCTACAGAAGGGAAACTGACAAAAATTTCTCAAAATTCATAATGAAAATGATAAACGCACAACCATATGAAGCTTACTGTTCATTGCTGATATTTAAAACTCATCTTAGGGCGGCAATATTGCAAAGCTGCTGTAACTTGACTTTTGCTTGCAACAATAATGGAGTACGTTTTATCAACTTGAATCCTCATTTTCTAGTTTATTTCAAAATGCATTTGTTCTTCAAATAAGTTTTGAATCTCATATTTCTTCATTTGCATATATGTGCTTTCTATCCCTTAAAGTAACAAAAAAGAAATTTGCTTCCCTTTCTATTTCCTCACAATCTATTATGGAGCATTTGCAAAGTACCAAAGTAAGCTTGTACAGTGATCATCTATAAAGATCTATCAGTATGCAACTTGTCTCAGAACTGAAGGTTCATACATATGTATTTGTTGTAAGAGATCCTGCTTAATGACTAACAACCAGGTCTGCCATAGCTCGCTCTTTGTAAAAATCAATCAGTTCGGATGCATTACATTTCTGGAACAAGTGAGATTTGAACCTAGGCCTCCTGGCTCAGTGGTAGGGACACTACACGGAACCCTAACATCTCTGTGAAACTTGCCTTGGATATTTCCTAAGCAACTTGCTCAGATGAGTTACCTGCCTTTGCTATCTTCCAATCAATCTGTTCAGAGAAGTAATTAAATGCCTTTGGAGCAGGTGAAACTTGAACCCGGGCATTCTGGCTCATAAGGTAAGGACATTACCACTGCACCACAACAGCCTGTACAACTTGCCTTAGATATTTTCTAATCAATCTGTTCAGAGATATTGGAGCACTTTGGAGCAGGTGGGACATGAGCCCAAGCTTGGAGGTACAGACAATATCACTGCACCATAAGGTTCAGCCAATTCTTCCTTTCAAATTGAGGACATCCCAGATAAATTGCCTTTCCTGCTATGGCAATCTGCTCACAACCTATGCTAAGAACTGGGCTTGAAGTTCTTGGCTTATAGGATTCCGTTGCTCTCAGTTTGAAAAAATATCAGAGCATCTTTCCGAATGTTTCAATATAAAACTTACTTGATTAAGTATTCAAACTGTTCCTTGCAGTCTGAACAGCCAAAGTCAGTGGTCCATGCATGTCCAATGGTGAACTTATGGAATTTAAGCATATCCATGACTCCAACCTGCACTACAGCACAGCCAAAGAGGTCAGGTCGCTGGTTGACGCAAGCCGCTGGAAAAAGAGTGAGATTGAGAAACATAAGCAAGTGGGACTAGTTTAGGGCTATAGTCAGCATGGACTGGTTGGACCGAAGGGACGGATTCCATGCTGTATGACTGTATAAGAATGGTCAAAATTAACTTAAAGATGTTTATCATGTTATCCTGATACATCCACACAAACACACAAAAGCCTTAATGAACTTGTTTTATTTAATTAATTAGGCAGTAATCATCGAAAGCATGTTTAAAAATAACTCTTCATTGCATCCAAAACAATACTGAAAATCAAATATGCTTCTTTACAGTTTAGTTTCTTATTATTCATTTCTTTAACAGGATGTCATTTTCAAAAATCTAAATCATTTGTGAATCACTTTATAGAAGATATTTCCAGTTTGACAGGCCAATAGGATCTCAACTGAGCCAAGTAGAATGCATCACAAATTTGGAGCTTTATACCATCCTCCTCCTTCCTTAAAATCAGTCTGAATGTAATATTAAATTTTATTTGCAAATAATAATGTTCAAAGGCACTTTTGAGGTAGCGATGCTAGTTCTGTTAAAAGGAACACTTACTTTTAGTGCAAACTTTCAGCATGCAACATTTTAAAGTCAGAACCAACAAAGTCAGTAGTTTGGTAAAGCCATTGTTGTTCATTTTAAGGAATAAAACGATTTTCTGTATGTCAGATGTACAAATCAAATTTATCTATTGATTTTTTGGAATCTTGCTCGTTCAGCTCTCATTGAAAACGGTACAAACAGTGCTCATGGTTATTCTTATGCAAGAATTCCTAGCCTTAGCTATTGTACTCACTTCACATTTCCCAATCAGATGCATGCTAACAAGATTTCCAAAGTCAACTTCCTTTAACAAGTTTATAACTTACCGGTTGCAGCCACCTTCAACATCAGCATGTTATGCTGTACAATCTATTCTTTATAAATCATTCAAAATACTTTCCTTATCAATTGAAATTTCTAGGTGTACAGAAAAGATTTTAATAAAAGTATTCACTATAAAACATATTTACTTGCCCCTTCTGTCTTTTAATTCATTAAAGCTTTCAATTTAAGGCCACAACCAATTTCAAAACGAACTTTGAACATGTTTTTGCCAAGAGTTATGATTCAATTAGCTCATTCTGAATTATGTAGTCAGACCATAAATGTCCAACTTCCAAGAAAATACTGAGTCTAGTTATCACTGTAAGACAGCAATGACTGATAAGTGCTAGATGATGAACAATGAAAGGCAAATTTGTAATACAAAAGACTTAATTTGTCATTAGTACATTTTAAACATTAATGGTTTTCCTCTCCAGATCACCCTGATAGCGTATGTTCTTTGGTTGCAATTTTTTTTTGCCCACTTCAAGTTGCCTACATGTAACAGCAGTGATAGGCCTTGCTCTAAATTGTAGATTAGAAAGATAGCCTTGCAGGGGAGACAAGGATAGGTAACAAATATGGCCTTTCAAATACTGCCTCCATTTTGTGAACAAATTTAAAAAATAGCATTTCTGATGCCACCAAATAAATGATTCAGCCAAATAATATCACTAGAGATAGTAGGAACTGCAGATGCTGGAGAATCCGAGACAACAAAGTGCAGGGCTGGATGAACACAGCCGGCCAAGCAGCATCATAGGAGCAGAAAGGCTGACGTTTCGGGCTAGACCCTTCATCAGAAAAGGGGGAGGGGAAGGGGGTCCTGAAATAAATAGGGAGAGATGTTATTTGACTGGGGGTATGATGCAGCTCTTAATTGGTATGCATATTGTTGCACCCTGTGCCAAAACTCAAAATCAGTTATTGAAGTTACAATTTTTGGTTTGTGTGAACTCTTTGTAAAATAAAAGCTGGCTTTAATATTGTAGAATGGCAGAGCTTTGCCTCTGCGCACAAAGTGTATGAGAGTATTAAACAGGCTTCTCTTTATTCATCCTGGTAAGGTTTTTCCTTTTCCAATCACTCTTCATATCGTTAGATAGTATGATCATCAAATACACCTCACCATGAAAATCCCCTTCAATGCATTACATAAGACCATAAACAGAAACAGGAGTAGACCATTTAGTGCCTGGAGTCTGCTCTGCCATTCAATAAGATCATGGCTGATCCGGCATTCCTTTTATCAATGTTCCTGCCCTTTCCTCATAACCCTTGATCCCTGACTGAGCAAAAATCTTTCTATCTCAGCCTTAAATATACACAAGGACTATTCTCCCACAGCTCTCAATGGCATGCAGTTCCAAAGACTTACATCCCTCAAAGAAGAATTTCCTCCTTACCTCAGTCTTAAATTGGCAGCCCTTAATTCTGAGACTTTGTCCTCTGGTTTGAGACTCACATGTGAGGGGAAACATCCTCTCAGCAGTATCATATCAAGCCCCTTAGGAATCCTATACGTTTCAATGAGATCACCTCTCATTCTTCTAAACTCCAATGAGTCCCAAACTGTTTAATCTTTGCCCAAAAGACAATCCCTTCATACTGGGGATCAACCTAGTGAAACTTGTCTGAAATGCCATCAATGAAATAATGTATTTTCTTAAACAAAATAAGAGGACGAAAACAGCTCACAGTTTTCCAGATGTGGTCTCACCAGCACCTTGTACAGTTGCAGTAAGACATCCCTTCTGTTATACTCCAACCCCCTCGAAATAAGGGCCAGCATTTCATTAGCTTTCGTGATTACCTGATGCACCTGTGTGCTAGCTTTCTGTGTTACGCACACAAGTATCCCCAAGTCCCTTTGCATTCCAGCTTTTTGTAATTCTTCTCCATTTAAATAATACCGTTCTTTTATTCTCCCTTCCAAAATGAACAACTTCACATTTCTCACATAGTACTCCATTCACTAACTTTTTGCCAACTTACTTAACCTATCAATAGCTCTCTGTAACCCTCTCAAAACCTGTCTTTCCACCTATTTGGATATTATCTGCAAATATGGCAACAGGTACATTTGCTTCCTTCCTCCAGGTCATTAATAGGAACTCTTATTGTCCACTCATGGCTTCCTGGTCATTAGCCAATTCTCTATCTATGCCAATACACCACTGCCAACACTGTGTGCTCTTATGTTGTAACTTAACCTTTTTGAGGTATTTGCCAAAAACACGTTTCCATCAATATATAAAAAGTCATACTGACATACCCACTAATAGACCACCATTAGAGCCTCCGTTAATGGTCAGTTTCTTTGAACTAGTGTAGCCCTTCTCGATGAGAACTTCAGCAGCCCGTTGAAAGTCATCAAAACAATTTTGCTTGTTTTCCAGCATACCCCCTACAAAGAGGCCACAAATAGATTTTAGTTAAAATGCTATATTAATTTGATCAGTTTCAAATGCTCCAGTCAACATTATTTCAGCAATAAGTAAATAACAAATGTTATCCAGATAGAATTTATCCTGCTACTATATATCAGAATTGATAAAAACTAAAGTATGTAACATAATGAAACACTTCGACACCTTCCTTTCCTAAAATGACAAATGTAGGTGCACCTTACAAGAGAAAAAAAAAGGCAGATTGGATTAGTTTAAAATAGCATCATGATTGGCACAGACATCGTGGGTCAAAGAGCTTGTTCCTGTCCTTGACTGTTCTATGTTCAATTCTGAAGATAATAGATAAACAAGGTGTTAATGGAAGGAATAATATTGTAACAGTCTCTAACATGAGGGACAAAGTATTTGACAAACTTTTGGGACTAAAGGCAGACAAATCATCAGAACCTGATGAGTTTTAAAGGAAGCAACTGCAGAGATAGTGGAGGCATTGGTTGAAATATTCCATAGGAACATACAAGATAGGAGGAGTAGGTCATTTGACCCCTTGAGCCTGCTTCGCCATTCATTATGATCGTGGCTGATCATTGAGCTCAATACCCTAATCTTGTCCTCACCAAACTAGAACTCACTGGATTCAGGGGGAATTCCAGAGGATTTGAAAACTACTAATGTGACACTCCTATTGAAGAAAGGAGGGAAACAGAAAGCAAGAAAATAAAATTCCACAGCTCTCAGGATTCCAGTGGATTGGAAAAGGGATGCAGTCTTCAAGAAATAAGGGAGAGAGAAAGCAGGAAAATATAGGTCAATTAGCCTAATATCTGATACTAGAGAAAATTTTGGGGTTCATCATGAAGGAAGAAATAGTGGACATTTAGAAAAGCTCAACACAAACAGGGTCAACATGATTTCCAGAAGGCATTGGATAAGGTGCCACATATTGCATAAGATAGGAGATCATGATATTGAGGATTGCTTATTATACAGAAGACAACGTCAGGATTAATGGTGTTTTTTAGGTTGGAAAGACGTGGAGTGCCTTGAGGATCAGTCCTAGGGCCTCAATTATTTCCATCTACAATAAAGACTTGGATGAGGGGCAGTGTGTAATGTATCCTAATTTGCTGATAATACAAAAATGGGCAGACGGGCATATTGTGAAGAGGACATGAGGAATCTTCAAGGGTAAAAAGGTAAATTGAGCAAGTGGACAAAAACTTAGCAGATGGGTTTAATGTTGGAAAGCGTGGCGTCATACAATTTGGTAGGATGAATCAAAGATAGACTATAATTCAAATGGAGAGAGACTCCAATATCAAACGCAGGGGTGCCTGGGTATTTTGATGCACGAAACACAAAACAGTTGCATGCAGGTAATTAAGCAGTAATGAATTCAGTAAATAAGAAGGCAAATAGAGTTTTGGCCTTTGCTGCTAGGATATTGGAGTGTTTTGGTCCCTGTTTTTAACATAGGATGTAATAGTATTGGAGGCAGTTCAAAAGAGATTCAGTCGGCTGATTTCTGGGGTGAAAGGGTTGACCTATTTAGAAAGGCAAAACAGATAAGGCCCTTAATCATTAGTGTTTAGAAGAAAAATTTTAGAAGAGAGGTGATTTTATCGAAACACACAAGATTCTGAGGGGCCTTACAGGGTAGATGTTAAGAAGATGTTTCCACCAGTGGGAGCATCTTGAATTAGGGAACACAATTACAAAATAAAGGGTGTTCATTTAAAACTCAGATGCGAAGGAATCTCGTCTCTCAGATGTTAGCAATATCTGGAATTCTCTGCGCAAGAGAAGCTAGTTCATCGACAGTATTTTTAAAAAGTGGTTGCCATATTTATGTCGAGGGCCAGGAGGCATTGACATGAAAGTGGAGTTGATGCCTAGGCAGATCAGCCATCATCTCAATAAACAGTGGGGCAGGTTTGAAGGATTGAATGGCTTATCCCGGCTCCTATTTCTAATCTTCTTTAGAATCTTTCTTCCAGTAAGAAGCATCCCATTTACCCTGCCTCTGCTCATAACAAAAAAGTTATTAATTCCAGGTCCATTGCAATAAACTTGTTCTTCAACCTCATCCTTCCCAAGTTAAGCAGTTCTTAACTGGAGAGAACTTTCCAACTAATGACTTGCATAAATTTAGCATTAACCTTTTGCTTTTCTCTTCACTTCTCTTAGAAAACCTAAATTGCCATTTCTTTATGTTCAGTCTTATCAACTTCCCCTTGTATTTTTAATTACTTTTTAAAATCTAAGCCCTTTTAAAGTTTAGAATACTTTTGCTGATCTTCATCAGCTTGGCAGTTGGAATTAGGTAGGGGTTAGGCTGTGGCTACTGTTATAGCTACATGCACCGGAGATAAACTCACACAATACAGGTAACTATATACCAGAAGAATATATTTACTTAAATTCCAGTCTCCATTCAGTAATCAAGGGAGTAGAACATTCATAAAGAAAAAATGGGGTTGCAGAACAAATACATATGCTGTGTAAATCTGAGCACTGAGATTACATGTTCAAAAACTGTGCTGATTATTCAGTTTACTTACTATCTAATCCAAGAGGAGTTTATCAAAATCTGGATTCCCAAGTAGCCACATGTGGCAAGTAGCTAATGTATTAGGCAACATTGTCTCACATGACAATTTTATTTGCACTATGATCACAATGTGAAGGATCTCCTGTTATTGGTCCTAAATTAAGTGCTTGCCACTTTCAACCAAGACATCCTATCATGGTTAGGTTAAAATATTATTTTAAATTAACTAATTTATATACTATGGAAGCCTCAACAGAAAGTGAATGTTGGGGTCCATGAGGTGATGCTGCATTTTTACTAGACTGCATTACAGTTGAACCACTGAGTCTGTAAACATCATGTTTTGGGGAAAACCTGCAGCTCAAAACCTACATCCTCCCAATCAGCCTGTTCTATCAATCAGATCAAGAAGCAGAACTCTCCTCAGAAGAGACTCCCCCCTTGTTCATAACAACAGCTGTAGCTTCCTTTCCAGTGAGTGACCTACTCTGAAATACTCGACTTATGACCAAAAGCTGGTAAGGAAGATGAGTGGAGCCATTTGGAATGAGGCCCAACTGTGACAGATTCCAGTCTGTACACTGGTTTCAGTTATACACATGTTCAATTAAGACAAAAGAATGAACTTGATCCCTGTGTCTCCTTAATACCACATAATTTGACAGTTTTAATTAAAAAAAAAACTTATCTCCCCTGAAACAAAATTAAGATTTAGATATGGCAAGTGCAATAATGTACCACAAGTGGTTTCACAGTATATCAATGTTGATATTAGGCTTCTACTATACTTCGATAAAATTATATCACATTATGCTCCATTCCACACTCAAGTCTGAGTTTCTGCAGTCTTTCCTCATACCTTATATAGCTGACAATAGGGATCAGTTTCTCGCTTCTTTACTGACTGCATCCAGCAACTGAAAAGTTCAGCATCCAAAACTGGACAAAGTATTCAAGCTGTGATCCGAACAAAGCTTTGAACAATTTGGATAAGGGTTCCACTGTCATTTCCATTGCTTTACGTAGCTTGAGATTATGTTGGCTTTGTCCATTTCTGTTTTGCATTGGTTAGAAACGTCAAACTTCAAGTTAACTACACAGTTGGTTCCCGTTTAGCTTCATAATTAGCTATTTCAACTGGAACATATCTATTCTTCCATTTCTATGTTCCTCCCACAAATATAGCACTTTACACTTCTCTGCATTAAATCTCATACAATACTTATCGACCCATTCCAAAATCTAACACTGCTTCACTGTGCTTACTTGCAGAACTCTTCACAATAATCATTCCTTCAAGTTGTGTGTAAATATTGACAATTAAATTAGGAGTAGGCCACTTCACACCTGTTGTTCCATTCAATACAATCATTACTTATCTGATTTAGCTTCAACTCCACCTGTCTACCTTGATATCCTTGCACCTCGTTCATTGAGAACCTACCTCTTTCTTAAAAATATTCAAAAATTGTGTCCTCATTCACCTCTTGAGGAAGAGTTCCAAAGACTCAATCCTATGAGAGAAAAAAGATCTCCATTGCCATTTTAAATGGGTGTCACCTTATTTTTAAACAATGACTTCTATTTCTAGATTCTCCCACAAGAGAAAACATTCTCTCCAAATCCACAATGTTATTTATGTCCCCTCAGGATCTTGTATGTTTCAATCAAGTCACTCTATAGCACTTGGGGCGAAAGGGATCAGAAGATATGGGGAAACAACAGGAACAAACAACTGAATTGGCTGATCACCCACCATCATAATGAATACCAGAACAGCTTTGAAGGGCCGAATTGCCTACTCCTGCTCCTAGTTTTTATGTCATCTCTTACACTTCTAAAGTCTAAAGCCCATCCTTTCACATCGGACAACCTGCTCTTTGCAGGTAATTCTCTAATGAACCTCCTCTTCTGATCCATTTTTGTCCTTCCTAAAATAAGGAGTCCTACACTATAATTCTGATATTATTTCACCAAAGCCATATGTAATTGAAACATAACTTCCCCTTTTTTGCATTCAGTTCTCACAATAAATAATAATATTTTATTTACTTTGCTAATACTTGCTACACACTAACATTTTGTGACTCAGGCACTTGGTCACCCAGTACCCTTCTGCATCTCAGAATCAGCAATCTCTGACCATTTCAATAATATATTAATTCATTCCTCCTGCCAAAACGGCAAATGTCATATTTTCCCGCAACATACTCCATCTGCCAGATCTTTGCTTGCTCACCTAACCAATTTATATACTTTCATTGTCACAACTTATTTTCCTACCTATCTTTGTATCATCAACAAATTTAGCACCCGTACTTTCTGTTGCTTCCACTGAATCATTTATAAAAATTGGAAAGAATTGACAGCCCAGCACTGATCCTTTGGCACACCATTTGTTAGGTCTTGCTAACCAGAAAATTACTCATTTATGCCTACTCTTTG